GGACAGTCTTACTCCACAAAGCTTTAGAAGAAGATGCACACGTCTTCGCCGATATAATTCCGGTCCGGGAACGCTGCATGGCAGGCTCAACGAATTTTTCTCCTAGACTGTCTTTATTCGCCGCGGTCGCACGAGGACCAGTGCTGCTGGCACGAAAAATATCCAAGAAAAAAACATTGTAGGTGTAACTTTTTTGGAGGAACAGCATTACAAATTTGTCTGGCATGACAGCAAAAACCTGTCAAGCGCAAATAGTACGCGAAAACGCCCTTTAATGGACCCTACGACGCACGCCAAGCATGACAGACGCAATCATCTTGCATGTTGCGCACCACAAATTTACACTAACAACGTTTTTTTCTTGGATAGAAAACGCGAGATGGAGATTCTTGATCGCCTGGGACGAGGACCGTCGGACCATTCTTAACCGTGCTGGGAGGTGACGGCGCCGGACCACGTATGCAATGCAAATACGTCTGGGTCTGGAAATTTGTGATGCAAGGAAGGGAATATTAAGCACCCTGTAATGCGCTCCCCAGCATGACAAGTTTTTCCGTAGTTCAGAGTTGCGTACTCCGCATGAGAAACTGCGTTTTTGCATGACAGACAAGGGGAACTCTTCGTTGACACGCAATACAGAGTTTAGAGTCATGCCAGACTAGCATGACAAATCTCGGAATCTCCCAGACCCAGACATATTTGCAGTTCATACCACGGTTTTCAATACCACAGTGGAACACCAGGTCCCGGACTTCGTCCATGGTCGCTTCTGGTAGAAATAAGGACAAGGCCACCGCATTCGTCGCAGTTTTCATCTTCGAGGATGTTGACAGGAGATCCAGCTTGCGCACACGAAAACGAGCACTCATCTCATCCAGAAGCTGCTGATGTCCACAAGAACTGCGCTTCAATTCCGCTGCGAAGCTCTTCGACGTGCCAACCAGCGCGTAGCCGTAGTCCGCTCCCCGCAACATGGGAATATCCAGCGGACTGTCCCCAAACGCCAAAATTCGACAGCCAGGGCTTCTCTGCCGCAAATGCTCCACAACTTTCAGCTTCGCCGCAGGATTGATAATGACGGGAGTATTTCGTTCGGGGTCGAGGCCCAAGACAACCACGAAGGGACAAAATGGAAATGAGCCAGGACAAAACGCGGCACTCACAGCTTGTTCCCAGACGGCTCTCAGGCCGCACGTGACGATGACAATCTGCAGCTTGTTCGCATTTCCAATATTGTCACGTGACGCCACTAATATCTGTTTGATCAGGTCACGGAACTCCGGGTACAGCGATTGCGATACCTTGTGCGCGACTTGACTACACAGCTTGCGGAACTTCGTCGGTCCGAGCACCTCGAGCACGTCGGCGTAGCGTTTTGCTGCCGAAAGAAACTCTGTGTACTTGTAGGCAGCGGTGAAGATGGTTTCCAGACGAGTAATATCCGCCGTGCTACAGAACCCTTGGAGTTGCATTTCTTCTCGTCCTCGCTTCTGTAGCTCGGATTTTTCCAACAGCTCGAAGAAAAGCGCTCCCGTATCCATGGGAGCGAGTTTTCTGTCTGCGTCAAAGACCAGGTAGGTTTCGATCGTGGAGTTCTTGACTGGACGAAGATTGTTGAGGCCAAAATCCAGGACCGCCGGGACGAGCTGTTGGTTGTTGAACCTTTCGTGGATCGTGAGTAACCACTCTGCTACCACCCGATGGTAACTTGCGTAGTCATCCGCAGCTAACATGAGAAAAAACTTGCCGCGGGCGGAGGACATTCTCCGTGCTAATGCTGCTTCCTCGAAGGCCATCCAAGCGTCCACCATCTCCGTTCATCATGAGAAAAAAGTCTTAGAGTTACTACACATTTGTTGGAGTTTCTGCATCACAAATCTTCTCTGTGTGGCAGAGAAAACTTGTAATGCGAACATCATAAGGGAAAACAGGAAGGAAACGAGGCTCCCAAGCATTTCCTGCATGAGAAAGCTTGTCTGTGTTGCCGGTCTTGCAACACAATGTGTAACTGTAACACTTTTTTCTTGCGATACCGTTTCACCTGCGAGTAGTACCTTTCGCACTCGCTTCCCCGTTTCTGCGTCTTTTGTGCACCGCTTCAGAATCTCAGACGCAGGGGTCCGGAGGTAGAAAATGTGTGTGTAAACCTCAGAGTCGGCATTTGTGAAAGCGGTCTCGAAAGAAGAAGAAGTGGGCTCATCACCATCCGAGGACGACAGCAGCGTCGGAAAAGCGTAGTGGCCGGCAACGACTGCAATTTTCTGCGACGCGCGTGCGCTCGCTGCGATATCACTAATCGCGCTCTCACGCACGAGGATTTTGTCCGCGGGAGAGAGAGTAGCGAAGAGCTTCAGTAAACGGTCCTCTTTCTGCTCATCTAAAGGTTCATTTAAAGGCCTCAGCTCCGGAGACACATGGTAGTTCCTGGAGGATTGATTCATCCCAGACGCATCGTTGTAACCAAGTCTCTCCACTGCACAAGCAATCCGCTCCTTGCCATCGATGAAGAGAAACAGGTTCTTGCCGTAGGTCGCACGTAAATGGTCCAAGATGTAGGATTTTCCGCTGCCGGAAACTCCGTAAATGCCCACAACGGGAGGAGCCGCGGGTGGAAAATCTTTAGGTCCTCCCCCATCTGAATGTAGAAACCCGCTTCTTCTTTTCTTCATTCGTTCTTCCGACGGCGGCTAGACAGCGAAATTGTCGCCCACCACGCGGGGCGGTGCTCCTGCTAGTCGTGTTGCAACGACCTGTTCAGCATATTTCTTCAGTCTCGCTACTTCCGGTAAAAGGTTCGACGCGGTTTCGGTTTGATGTCCTCCTGCAGCTTCTCGAGTAATCAACGACTTGTTGTTGTTATTCGATGAACACCTCCCTTCAACATCAACGACGCTTTTCCAAGTATCGACGATTTCAACCCCGAAATCCTTCTGCAGCTCTTCGAAAATTTGTTCCGCACGTATCCCACAGAAAAAAGCTGGCAGGGCAGATTTGTAATGCAAAAATAAACACACAGAAAGATCTGTAATGGGCGGCCTCATAGCATGCTATTTAGGGCATGCAATACAAATTTTTTTGTCCATTTATTTTTGCACTACAAATATGACCTGCCAGCTTTTTTCTGTGTGATAGCACGCTCGTCCTGCCCATGCCCCGCACGCGACGCGACGCCGTCCCGTGCAACAATAATCCTCGTCGCAGATGAATGAGGGTCAAGAATTATCTGGCGCGCCATCGCTTTGACAGATTCTTGCACACAGCTGGTGAGGGTCAAGCCGGTCACGAGCACTTCCTCTGTAGCAGTGTCAGTTAGAAGCGCTCGCAGTGCGCTCTTCTGCGAATCGCTGCAGTTGAAGATGTCGTTGCTACACTTGGTTAGGAGTAGCAGAAAAGGCTTTTCGCCGCTGGCGCGATGTTTCGACCAATGATCCATTAAGAAATAACCGCGATTCCGGATCACATCACGTATTTCGTCCGCAAAGCCGCGGCCCTCATCTGTGGTGCACAAGTCCATAAGGGGGTCGACGTCAACATCTCCTCCAGCACCACTGGCAAATTGCGAACGCCGGTACTCGCTCCTGACGAGGAGAATCCAGTCGACGCGACTACCAGCCTGCAAGGCTGTGGCGATGAGCTCCGGGAGCGTTTTGCGCACCAGCTGCTGCAGAGGACAACATGCCTCCTCCCCGTACTTGCGGACAAACGGACCGTCTGACGTGACAAAATCGCGCACCGGGTCGATTACGACCAGTCCCAGCGAAGCTGGTTTCTTGGCGGATTTTTGGTTCTCGCGGTCGCTTGCCATGCTGGTCGACGGATCATGCGCAGTAACTAGTGCT